ACAAAGAGACAGAAGAAAAGAGAAATGAGGAGAAAAAATCAGACGTGGAAACCACATGCCAGGTTAATATTAAGCTGGTGCTGTAGCTATGCCATCTATCATCAGCTGTGGAATTTCTAACTAGTATAGTAGCAAAATGTATCCTTCACTGTATTACAGTAATAAAAACCAGAAATATTTAAAAAATAAGGTGATCATGTTAGCACCATTATGTCAATCCCGTAACATATCCAAAGAGATGGATGTGGCTGGAGACGAAGCCCCTGGGCTCCTTTGCACCCACCTAAGCACCCGGCGGCACCAGCCCAGCGTGAGGAAGAGCCCACACAGCCACATCCAAACACCAGGTCAGCCTGCTAGGACTTCACTGTGCCTATAACGACAAGGATTTCCTCAGGGAATTCTCTGCCACTCCATCATCCCAGAAACCCAACGAGCTACCTCAAGCATCATCAGCTTACACGCACGCTCCATTTTCTCTTTGCTTCATCAAAGCTTCATCAAAGGGGTTCCCTGCTCTCTTTAGTTCTTTGTAAGATTGCCTGCATTTCCTAAATAGAAAAGGGTTTAGAAAGAAAGAGGAGCTTCTGTCTCTTTGGATTTTACCAAGGCACTGATCCCAAGCTCATACTAATAATCCCAATCCTGTGCTGAGCCTCAGCAGGTAGGAGATTCCATGTATATTGTGTGTTTTCAGGGGGAACAGAGATGCACACTGTAAAATAAAGCCATTTTATTGTGCCAAGTAATGGGACGAATACCTCGCTCAGGGTTTGCATTCCTGTGCAGTGAAAGCTGCATTCCCACTGCCTGGAATGGGAGCTGCCTAGGGGTGGGATGGCTGCCAGGCTCAGGACATCCCATCTCCAAGGGACCTTGCAAAGTTTTACTGGTCTCCCCAGGCTCAGCTGTTGCTTCTCTTCCCATGATTTCACAAAGACCCCCTTGCAAAGCACACCTGGGATCTGGCCCTGAGCACAGGCTGCTGCTGTGGCTGTGCAATGAGCAGCGGTGCCCTCACACACGCAGAGGCAAATCTGCTTTGTCAGGGTTCATGTCAGAACAGGTTTGTAGAACACGCTACAAGGGGGTGGCAGAGGGGATGCTGCTCACTGCTCACAGCCCAGGAGAAGTTGTGCAGTGCTACAAAATTTATTAGCAGTCAGAGCCAAGTATCAGACATTAATATATTATTCTTAGTCCATAATACAGCAATGAATAGTAATTGCCATAAAGCAACACTTTCATTTAAAGAAATTTCACTGAAGCATGTTTTTTTTTTTCCCAAAAATCACTTTATTTATAGCTTTATAACATTGAGCGAGTTTGCTGTAACTAAAAAAATGACTATCCAAAGATCTATCCAAAAGAAGTACTAGAAAGCCTGGATGCTCAGTCAATACAAGAAGGCATGAGAAAACAGCCATACTTGGTTACTTCACCAATACGCAAGCAAATTCTATTCCACTCAAGTAAATATGAACTAATACTAGAGATACAACTTTTGCTATTTGATTTAGTTAATTATCAGGGGTAAGACTTCTTTTCATGCAAGACAATACTGAACCCAAAACAAAGCAGCAAGACAGGAAGATACTTTCATTTTTAGGGGACATGCAAAACGTTGTTTTCACACAGGCATTCCAAACTGTGACCCAACCACGTAAGGGTAACTTCCAAGACAAGAAGTCTAAAATACTCATATACTAATAAATAAATAAATAAGCAAGTAAATAAATAAATAAATAAATAAATAAATAAGTAAGTAAGGAACTAGTGACCGGTTAGTTTCTTTACCTGACTGTTAAACCTTTGATGTTGCCAACCCTGTTTAGCAGATTTGTAAGCCAGCGTACACCTACTGGTCTCAGCTTTTAGGCATGCGGCCTCCTGGAGAGGAATCCCAAAGGATGATCCGTCTCACCTAACAGGGAGAGCCAAGCGCTGACACGCTGGCTCGGACAGCCGTCTCCATCACCTGCACTCAGTGGCGAGGAAAAGGTGCTCGTGGGCTCGACGCTCTCTCCAAGCCAGCTAGGAAAGGTCCCGGGAAGCAGCCCCGCTCAGGGCAGCTGCTGCGGGCTGAGCCCGTGGGCGGCTGCAGGGACCCTCGCCTCACGGGTCCCTATGGCAAGGGGAGCCCCCAGCCCCATCCAGGACCAACCCCGCGGGCGGGAGCGCACGGGAAGGCCTGGGCAGGCGCAGGCCAAGGCCCAGGGCTGCTCTGGGGCTGCGCGGAGCGGAGCGGCCCGCGGGCAGCGCCGGCCCTGCGGCCTCCAGCTCTCGGGCGCTCCCGGAGCAAAGGCGGCCGCAGCAGCAGGGGATCCTGCCCGGCCTCGGCAGCTGCCACGCTCTGCTCTCCCTCCAAGCCCTTACTTCTCAGGAAGAGAAGACTCCTTTTCAGGAGGAGGTTGGGTTTTTTTGTTATTAATCTCATAACTGTTCACAAGGAAAAATTTACAAGCTCGCTCAAGAAAGAGCAGATCAGATGGGACAGTCTTAGAGATTGTGAGGTCCAGCCTGCCCAGCCTGGACTCTTAGTTTACACCCAAGATTTATTGTCTACTAAAGCTGTCCTTTCGTGCCTGCTCCTACACTGTCCGAATATTCAATACAGCAGTACATGCATTTCAGTGTCTTTTGAGGGAATTCCTCTCTGCCAAGTTTAGATGCTTAAGGCTCCAAGTGCACTTCCCTCTCTGTGGGCACTGTCTTTGGAACGCATATCGTTATTTTAGCTAAATAGTTAGTCTTAGGGTACATATTAGAAACCTAAAATGAACAGAATGGAGCCCTAAAATGAACAGAATGTGCCCCGTGCTCTGGATGTCCCCACGGGAGCTGGGGGTTGGACTGGATGATCTCTAGAGGTCCCTTCCAGCCTCAAACACTCTGTGGTTCTGTGATATTACAGTCCAGGAATGCAATGGATTGAGCAGGGTTGGTACAAGGTGCTAATGTTTCTTTTCAGCTCTGTTCAGCTGTACGTGGAGTATCTGTGACTGAGCATAAAGACAAATCACAGATCAGAGTCAAATTAGATTTTTCTAATGAGGCTTTTGAAATAAACTAACAGATTACTGTTTAAATAAAACCTGTAGCACGGATGAGTTGATGTTAGATTATTAAATTTCTTTTAACTTAATTCTTAAACTCCAGAGCCAGCCAAGTGATATTTGGCACATTTTCCTTCACAAACTGTGGAATGCATTACTACAAAGAAACGCTTCATGCTTTAACCAATTCTGTAAATATTCAAGAAATATCAATCACAGAAAATAATATACATCTTATATACTATTTTATATATAGTCATGCATTAAAAGTATCAGCTAGCTCCCTGTGCCTCCTCTTCTCATTAATTAGGTAGAATTATGCAGTTCAAAATCACTTTTTTTTTTTTTTTTCTGTCTTACTGTGTGTGGTACAAACTGAGAATGATAATACTGAGCACTTTAGGTCCTGGTGTTGTAACTAGCAATTTTATAACATCTGCTAGGCCTGTCACTGAAGCAGTGCCGCCACTGGTGAAAAACCTTCTCCATCCTTGGCCACAGCCCTAATGAAGTGCGAGAGCCGCCTCTTGTGGCTTGCCCGCAAAGAGCCCCTCTCTGCCGAGGTGGAATTCATGTTTGGTGCTCATCATTTCGGTGCTGGGTGTATGGGGCAATGGGTGTAAGTTGCAACACAGTCAGTTCCCTCTCCATGTGAGGAAGAACTTCTTTCCTGTGAGGGTGCCAGAGCCCTGGCACAGGCTGCCCCGGGAGGCTGTGGAGTCTCCTTCTCTGGAGATCTTCCCAACCCGCCTGGATGCCGCCCTGTGCCCCGTGCTCTGGGTGTCCCTGTTGGAGCAGGGAGTTGGACTGAATGATCTCTAGAGGTCCCTTCCAACCTCAACCAGTCTGTCATTCTGGGATTCTTCCATTTCTGAAGGGGTGGGAAATGTGCATCGTGAGAAGCTGCTCAGGAAGACAATGCACTAGATGTGTTCCAGCTGCCTAGCCAGTGTGAAAAGAGTAGTTTTCCCTCAAATGCAGCTTAGTTCCCTCTCAGCAAACAGCACCACTACGAAAACATCAGTGCTCTTGGCCACTGTAGCCAGGAAAAGAAAGCCAAACAGTAAATACTTTAAGGTATCAGGTGAAGACATGTAAAATGCATTTATAATAAGTTACATAGTAACAATCTCTGATTTTTTTTTTATATCTCTTCCCTTCTAATAAAGTGTCCAGAATGTCTAGATTTTGAACCACTCACATAAATGTATGTTTTGTGAGCCTAGCACACGCTTTATGCCTCTAGGCTCTACATCTATTTCCAGCTCTACTTCAGACTTCCAGGGTGACCTTTACACATAACCTCATTTTCCTCACCTACAAAATGACGATATTAATACTTATTTACTTCACAGTTGGTACCCTTCCAGCTGCTACAGCGACTGGGTAAACTTATGCATCTACAGAATTACTAATGTTCACAATGTTTTTCCTTTTTTTGAAAAAGAAATAATAGTGAAGCCAAGGTAATAATGTGTTGGAGAGTAAGTGCAGAGAAAAATAACAGCAATAGAAAAACCGTACAAAGTCCCTTACTAATTTCCTTTCAATTATGCTACTCTTTAGGAGAAATGTGGGGAGCTCCTACTTGACAGCAACTTGAAGAAACTTCCTGCTGTTGCTCTCAGTCAGGAAAAAGCTTCATTTTTTTTCCAGCAAAAAGCCTAACACAACCTCCCTTTGTGGAAAGCATAAACCCTGCAAAATTTGCCAGTAAAGAAAGGGGAAGAGCTGACTTTTCTCTGAAACTTCAGCTACTGATTATAGGGCAGAGAAAGGCATTGGAAGAGCACGAGAGGGGAGAGGGCCTCTTCCCAAAGGGAATGAAGCTGAGCAGAGGAGCTGCTGGTGGATGGGGTGACACCTCTGCAGAGCAGCTGGCGCTTCCATCAGCCAGTGGACACCTCGGCAATACTCATCTCGCTCTGAGAATGTGATACTTACTCTTGTACTGCTCTGGCTATGGAGAGCGCTGTAGATCCAGTTTCATTAACACTATCTAAGGTCACATTTGGCAGGTCGTCATCATCACTGTCACTTTTAATTTGTCTGGGAGATAGGCCTCGGGGGTCCATTTGTGCTGGAAAGAGACATATAATGGATTAATATGAGTGTGCTGAAATTAATCTTGTCCCAGAACAATATTAGGGTGTACAACACATCTATTCGCGCACACAGGGTGGCACAGTTTTCTCCTAGGCTCACAAAGCAGATGATGGATTTGCAAAGTCATCTCGTGGTACTACAGGGCTACACAAACATTTTCAACTGCATGCAAAAGGGTGAATATCGCACACACTATATAAATGCATTCTGCGGACCACCAAAACACTAAAATAAAACTACATATACAGCATTTATCAAAAACCCATTATACTCTTGAGTTCATTATTTTGGCTGTCTTACAAAGGCAAGAAGACAGGATGGGGAGCATCCGCTTTAAAGGGTAAATTTTACAGTTAAATTTCAAGTGTAATCTTTGATTTTGGCTGTAGATCTGGAGGTAGCAGGTTGGCATTGACTGATTTCAGTAGCACAGAAGTTAGGCATCTGAAACAGGTCACTTGTCTTGACTCCCGACTCAGTCCAACACCAGTGTTGATCTCAGAAGACGCCTTTCCTGCGTATTACATGTAATAAAATCTCTACAATCTCTGAAGTTGTCTTCAAAGAGACAACTAATTTTGGGGTGACTCATGCTGAGTGAACTTAGTGCCTTCCTTTTCTGTGAGAAGTCTTGTAAAAGCCAGGCAGCCTCAGCTCTTACAAACAGCTGAAGATCAAGAAATGTGTGATGAGTGAAAATTGAAAATATCGTCCATTTAATAAGCAAATGCAGCAACCCAGCTGAAAGCACAGTACATTCACAGAAATACAGTATTTCCTCCACCAGCTTCCCATTCATGCAGCTTAGGTACCCCAGCAATGCAGGCCACCTTAATTTTTATTTCATGCTTGTTAAAAAAGCACCTTAACATAGCAAAGATTCTGGACAAGCACTACTGCACTGCGACACATGTGGCAACACAGAAAGTACTAAAACTCTTAGTTCTTTTAGGTAGAACAAGCACCATTCCCATCGTGATTCTTAAAACCACAACTTGCATAGGACAGCATACACTGCAGGTCTAGTATTGAATTTTAAAGCAGCTGAAAAGCTATTCAGCTTAATTACGTACAGAGAAAACTACTGCAAAGAAGTGCTACTTTTGAGGACACCTTAACCCCAAATGATGCTGATTTGTTAAGAGCAACTTTATATATGAGATAATTATTAATTATTTTGCTACTTGTGCATTTTTTCTTAGAGTGAATCTTGTTACAAGAAATTATACAATTCTATCTACCTAATATTTAAATGCTGCTTGAAGTGATTTTTTTTCCAAAAGGTACTATTTGCATTAAAAAATAAAATTTTAATAAGAAATGTGTAGGTGATATTCAGCAGCTTCATCTGATCTGCACTATGGTAAAAGTTTTAATTAGTTAGGTCAGAAACTTTCTCAGTGTTCAAACTGAAGCATAATTTAAAGTAGAAAAAGTTGTTAAATAATTTAGTTCATAATACAGTTATTATACACCAATTTTGATCACTTAACCACGAATACGCCTACATAAAAAGAGCTGTTGTAAATGTGCATTTACCTTCCTTGTTCCTATAAGACACGTCATTACTATTACAGATTACCAGCTCTTCAGATATTATGGAGAATCCTGTGATATTTGTTGGTCTTTTTTTGAGGAATGTGATAAGCTGAAATTTCTCAGATATGTTAAAATAAGTTGGTTTTAGACGGAGCGATGCAGGTACTTGAAAATGCCACAGAAAAATGTCCTGGAGACTCAAAACCCGAAAGATAAATATATATATATATTGTGTTTTTTTGCACAGAAACACAAACTTTATCATTCTAGGCTCTGCCTCACAGTTTATCTCACTGTAAACCTCATAGTTTTTGAGGTTTACCATCCCACCTTTCTTGTTTATACTCCGTGGGATAATTCCACTCTGCATAGTCCTAACGTAGTCCCAAAGTTGTCCAGAGGGTTGTGCTCTTGCAGCTACAGGTAATTTGGTGGGGTTGTCACCACCTGCCGCTCTGCGAGCCCACGGCTGAGGACACTGAGAGGTGTCGAGGCACCTGAGCATGTAGGAACAGAAGGGTAAAAGCAAAAACACCTTGTGGGAGGAATCCAAAGGCAGGGAATTCAAGGGCACTTTTTGCTATGTGTTTGCAATGAAGTTCTTTAAAGATGAGAAATATCCTGGAGAATGAACCAGGGGTTATTCCATAATGTTTATTGTCAGTCCGTACATACATTTTTTCCCTCCCTTCCACTTATGACCTCTCCTCCTGCTCAGTCTCTGCCATCTCACAATCCTGCATTAGAGAGGTAGGTCAGAGATAATTCTGCAGATGAGATAGGAGAAAAGTGGGGGGCAAATGCACAACGGCAGACAAGTGAGGTGGAGGGGCACCCACAAAATCTACCTGTGCCTTTCAGCCTCACTTTGCACCATGATTTGCCCTGGTGACTTCCCTAGCCTCTCCTTGAAGGTAGGACCAAAGGACAGGAAGGGATGTGGCTGCGTCACTGAATCCAGGCTCCTCCTATCATGGGCAGATAGATATTGTAATCCTATTAGTTAATAATGACCAGCCTTAAGACGAGCTGCCTTTCTTGCCCTTGCTACTCCCTTTTGACAGCAAGATTTGTGTGACACAGAGATATTTAGAGGTTTTGTGAAAGTAGGGTGAGGCAAGCAGCGAGAAACCAATTGGAGACAGCCTTGGTGGGACCAAAACGCTCTCATCCCAAAGGATGAGAGGAGTAGGCTCCATGCTGGAAGGGCTGGCGAGCCAGGGGGATGATTTAGGGAGGTGTGCAAGGGTAGAGGGCTGCAGGAGGCAGTGCCCCTTCTCGCTGAGGATCACAGAGGGCTGCTCCTCACACAAGTGCATACCCACATACCCACAAAAAACACTCGCTCTACCTCAATGTTCTGCTCAAGGTGTGCAAGGGAGGTCACTCCTTGAACAATTTTTCGGGCCAAAATGTGCAAAAAGGTTCTTGTGTTACAATGCAGGCAAGCCTTTAAGTGCTCCACAACTTGGTCTACCCCCAGTAATGCTGCAGCTGCCAACTGCATCACTTGCCAGCAGTAAAAATCCGACCTGGATCGGATATAAGCTTGCTGCTATTTCTGTTTCAATAGCCTCAGCACAAGGTAGCTGGTTTTTGGCTTTACAATTTATGCTGCCTGTGGCAGCCAGGCAATATCTGATCCAGCTCCTTGGGACAGAATTGCCCCTTCCTAATTTAAAGCAGCACAACAAGCTCCTAAGGGGCACTGCCTCATTCCAGGTGCCCTGTCAAAGAGCTCCGTGATTCCTGGCATGGACCTGGATTGACCATCGCATGGCGCTCTGTGCCCTTGTCACAAAATGACACTGGAAATTTTGGGTTGGGAAACACACTGGGCATGCTGACATGCCTTTGGTTTCCCATCAGCATTCAGGAGCAATGAACTGGCCTGAGATCCAAACAGAAATAATAGAGGCCAGTTCCTCTCTGCAACTTCCTCATCCCTTTGCTTATTTAAGGATCACTTAGAGAGACCCGGCTCAAGTGCTCTGGGCTGTCTGGTTAAGGACAAGGCACCACCGAGACCCCTGCAGTTGGTGTCTGCAATAGGCGGCTTGAATCTGGGCCCTCTTGAAGGTGAAGAGGGCCATGGGCCAGCACAGCACATCATGACCACTGGTGGTTTCAGTTCTCACACCCCAGATTTTCTTTCCAAATGAAATTTCACGAAACTGATGAAAATTCAGCCCATCAATAGGTTCGCCAGTCTTCATTTCACATCAACACACTATCTTGCATTTAAAGCAAAGCCAAGTTCCTTTGTTGTAACACAAAGGAAATATTTAAGAGCAGGAGAAAACTAGGCAATCACGAGTAGCTTTGCCTCCTTCTATAGCTAAGCTAATATAGATAGCTAATGTAGGGTTAACAGTGAGTCAGTATGGGGCAATGCTTGCTGATCTGCAATCAAATAAAAGTTCAGCATCCTGAAAAGCTGAAGCCTCTGGCACGTAAGAAGAAATGTCTCAAAGTATAACGTCTCTCTCACTGTAAATAATGGTCTTTTTGCACTATCCCCCATTATCTCCCATTCTCCACCCCCCAATATTTAGATGTATGGAAATGTCATCGTCACTGCTGTTCATGGGTGCATGTGTGGAGAAGGGGCACAAAGGGGACAAAGGGACATTTGCTGCCAAACTCCCACAACACCAGCACTGGAAAACACTCTTAGGAAAATGATGGAGCACCCAGGCTTTAACACAGCACACCAGAGTTTGATGGGGCTGGAAGTACTGGGAAAGAAGTGGCTTGAAGCTAATGAAACATAACATGCTCAGGCACCTCTCTGGAAAATGAGAGTGCCCTACGCTTCCCATGGGGCCCCCGGGAAGGGTTCACAGCCTCATCTAGGAGGTCTATCTATAGCTCCCTCTGTACGGGGAGCGCTGGCCCCGGGAGCCTCTTCGTCAACGTGAGCCAGTGGGAGATGAGGCTGCACAGGCACCTCTGCTCCTTGGGGACTGGGTAAGAAGAGGAAGAGGAGGAGGAGGAGGAAGAAGAGGAAAGGGAGGAGAGCGGCTCTCCTCGGTGTGTGTGTCAGCTGTGCCCTAATTTGGGGGGAAAGAAGCAAGAATTTCTGGAGGCCACTAAGTGCCTGGTGGAGGAAAGCCTTGCCCGCTCTCGCGCTGTCTCCCTTCACCACACATTCAGTGCAAAAGGGACTTCATGCTGAGCAGCCATAAGGCTGAAGATCACCATTTTTGGGTCCCGATGGGCAAATGTGGGAGACAGGAGGACAAAGCAAACATCATTAAACCCAATGATTTAGGAAGGGACATCATAGGGCAGTGCCCAACATGGCTCCCTACATAACTTGGCTCCCTCCATTCAGCATCTGACAGATGGAGTACTTGAAACACTGCAAGTTGGGAGCTGCTGGTCAACAGGGACTTCTTTCTTTACATAGTCCTGTTTTAAACACCCTGATAA